GGGGGGGGGGGGGGGGGGCTGCCTCCAAGCGGTGGCTGCGGGTGGGGAAGGCGTTTCCGCCCCCAGGGCCCCGCTTCACGTCCTTGGAAACAGCTCTCCCACGTTTCCTCAGCTCAGAGACCGCTTGAGGCCCCCCTCCTCCCGTGGGCCTTTCAACCCCAGGCTGGAAAGTTCCTTCCACCTGCACACCCCCTGGTCGCGGCCCCTTCAGGGCATCTTGGGGAGCTCCAGGGACCGCGGCACTGGCTGCGTGTGGAAGGCGCTGTCCAGCCTCCCAGGCTCGGGGCATCTCGCCCGCCCCGCCCAGCCTACGACGGCGCTTCGAGAAGCCAACTCTGCGGAGCGTGACAACCAGTTCCGGCTGAGGACTCCCATGGCGGGACTGTGTGCACACTCAAGTGTCACCTGGGCGCACGTTCTCACACACGCTTGGCCACTGTGCTCCCTGGAGTGAGATTCCCTTGTTCCTTCTGCTGCCTACTCAAGCACGGGTCTGGTGGGGGTGGGACAGCACGACCCAGGCTTTCCGACAGGGGTCGGCTGGGAGGCCACCAGGAAAGCGGGTCCGTGGGGCCCAGCCCTCAACCAGACTCCTATGCGCTGGGGCTGGGCTGGCAAAGGAGCGGACTCGGCCAGCGTCGCCCAACACAAGAGCGCCCTGGGCCGCAGGCGGCGGCGGTGACAACCATCGTGAGCGAGCGTGGGACACACGGGCCCCACCTATCGGCCGGGACACGTTCCCTCCCTCCCTCCCTCCCGGCTCTCACATTTCCCGGGACGAGCTCTAGGTGGGTCTCTCACTCCGGTGTGTGTGGCTGAATCTTCAGAAAGATCTTATTTCTAGTCTCTGATTCTAGGCCGCCAAGCCCACACCCTGCTTCTCGCAGCGCCTGATGCCCGAACGAGACTCAACGACACACGGCCAGGGAGGCACGGACGCGGGGCGGGTTTCCTGCTGGGAAACCTACGGGCAGGGAAGCAGTCAAAGCAGCCTCCTTCCAAAGGAAGTGTTAGAAGCCGGAAGCACCCCTGTGGCCAGAGACAAGCGGCTCACGCATGTCCCCCCAACATTTCAAATCCCCCCGCGAACCCCGGCTGCCCGGGGCTTGCGCCCCGTACGCTGCCTTCCGCGGGGCCGACCCGGCGCTGGGCCGGCAGGCCGAGTCACGGCCACGCGTGTTCGCGTCGGGGCCCTGCTGAACAGGGCTGCCGTTGCGCAGCCTTGGCCACGTGGTGCCTTCCGAGTTGCAGACCGAGGGGTCTTCTCCCCCAGCTCGTCTGCAGATGCTCCCCTCGCCAGGTCTGCCCACAGGGCTGACGTCATCCAGCAGGAACGGGCGACGGGGAGCACAGGAGCCACCTGCTCTGGGGGTGGGGGACACTCAGCAGGGTCCTGACGCTTCGATTCACTTACGGCTTCAACACAGCGGGTGTGAGGCTGCTCTTCCTTCCCGTGACCGGCCCTCTGAGGCCCTCGTCACGCGTCCCTGGGGCAGCAAAGCACACCCGTGCTGAGCCACCAACCTGGAAGTGTCTGCACCTTCCCCGAGCGCAGTTTCCGCCCCACAATCACTGCCCTTTCTCGTGCCCTGTGTGAATGTCGGCCACGACCAGAGTCTTGATGGGGTCGTAGTTAGGCAATAAAGACTCTTAGCCGGTCACCTCTGCCAGTCCCGTCCCGCCCCGCGCAGCTGCCCAGGGACAGGGACACTGGCCGTCTCCTGGCGAACAACCTGCCATCTTGGTTTCCCCGGAGGGAGGCGAGGGAGGAAGACCCTACGCAGTTAGGACAGGCAGACGTTTGCTGGTTTGCACTTTTCTCAAATTGCCTGTTGGTTTGTTTTTTTTTTCCCCCCAAAAAGCTGATCGCAGAAAATGCAACTAAGAGTCACGGTGGCACCCGCTTCTCCTGTTGTGGCCACCGCTTCTCTTCGTGTCACTTTACTGGTTCTGCCTCTTCCCTGCCAGGCACTTGGGGAGTTGTGGCACGCGTATCACACACGTTAGTCCCACCGCCCGCCAGAAGGGGCGGGTGCTGTCACCAGCTACCTTGGCAAGTGGAGACTCCTCTCCCTCACGCGGGTGAAAGGCATTCTGGCCGGATGTGGAACCCTAGATTGGTGGCCCCCCTATCTCTCGTGTCACGTCACGGTCTTCGCTGGCTTTTAAACTGTCTGTGAAGGTCACGAGCGCGGCAGGGCAGACTGCCACATCGACACACACTTACATGGCTGTTGAGTAAACCGCTTTTGTGTGAGGTGATCCCTTCGCTTTTTTGGAGGTTTTCAATCGCCATTTCAAGCTAAAGAAAATGTGTGCAGAAACAAACAAAACAAAACAAAATGGAAAAAAAAAAAAGGAAATCAGATGGTTAGCATCAGCCAAGATTTGTTTTTATTAATATCCAAATAATGATTTAAGCGCCTACAAAATAAAAACCAGGCTGGACGCAGGCGGGGGGGACGGTTAAGTTGTGAGTTCAAGCTGCGGCCGGGAGTGTTATTCCTGCCATGCAGGCGAGCCGGGGGGCGGGGAGCACAGGCAGCAGGATGAGTCGTGCTGTGAATGCCGGCGATTGCGTTGTAACACAACACGTGCACACGCAGAGCACGAACGCTGAGCCGAGGCATAAGTTCACGTCTAGGCAAAGCCAGCACCATCATTGCCCGCTGCTCCCCTGGACCCGTCATCGTCATCGGTTGCCGGGGAGAATCAGCTGTCTACCCAAGGGCGGCCAGCGGCGCTGACTTCCTGGCCAGCCTGTCCTGTCGCGGAGCTCGGAGCCTCCCTCCTGGATGCTCCAGGAAAACAGCAAACGAGGCCGGAGACCCTGGCCCTGCCATCGGGAGGCGTAGGGGCCACCGGGCATGTCACAGAGATAAGCTCCTGAATGCTGAATGAAGCGTGGGCTGCGCAAAGAGGGGTATACAGGAAGGAGATCGAGTCGCAGGGGGACGTCACGCAAAGCTAACAGTGGGCCTTCCTGGGGGAAGGGGCTTCTGGGTTGGGTCCCGAGGACTTCCTGGAGGCAAGGAGCTGAGGTGGTGCAGTGGGTCGACGCACAGGAGGAAACAGCCGGTTGTGGGCGGCTCCCACCACATCTGTCCGCACTGAATGTGACTTGTGCACGTCAAACGGAAACTGAAAATCTGCCGGAGGCCACCACGCAGGCCGAGGACCGCAATGGAAGGAAGTAAACCTAATGCGCTGACTTTCCTCAAACACGCACGGAAGGCAGACCTCAGTGATGCTTGTGCAGAGAGCAGGGGGAACGCGTATTTCGGAAAGCGCAGCCGGGCGGGGCTCCTGGGGCCGAGTGCGGGAGCAAGAGGGTGACTGCTTTGCCCATCACCTCTTTTGACCGCTGGGTGTGTGTGTCCGCTGTCCTCACTGTTACCCAACACCGTGCCGGACGTTCTAGCCGGGGGGTCAGGCAACAGTGAGGAACCAAAGGCATCCGTATTGGAAAGGAAGAAGTAACGTGCGGATAACATGATCTTAAAGACCGAAAATCCTGAGGGACCCACCAAAGCACTGTTAATGCTGATAAGCAACCCAGCAGAGTTGCAGGTTACAAGATCAATGCCCACAGATCGGTTCTGTCTCAACAGTGAACAACAGGCGAACGAAATAAAGAAACAATCCCGTTTGCAGTAACGTCAAAGAAAATCCAATACCTAGAAATGAATTTAACCAACAAGATAAAGCATTTGTACGTTAAACTATAAAACGTTGTTGAATGAAATTAAAGACCTAAATAAGCAGAAGACATCCTATATTCACGGGCTGGAAGACTTAATATTTAAATTTTTTTTTCAACGTTTTATATTTTATTTTTGGGACAGAGAGAGACAGAGCATGAACAGGTGAGGGGCAGAGAGAGAGGGAGACACAGAATCGGAAACAGGCTCCAGGCTCTGAGCCATCAGCCCAGAGCCCGACGCGGGGCTCGAACTCATGGACCGCGAGACTGTGACCTGGCTGAAGTCAGACGCTTAACCGACTGCGCCACCCAGGCGCCCCTGGAAGACTTAATATTTAGATGGCAATACTCTCCAGGTTGATCTATAGACTCCAAGCAATCCTTATGAAAATCCTCTATTAAACTTCTGACTGCTTTTTCAGAAACAGACAAGATGATCGTAAAATTCGTATGGCATTGCAAGGGACCCCGGATAGCCAAAACAATCTTGAAAAAGAAGGACAAAGTTGGAAGGTTCACGTTTCCCAGTTTCAAAACCTACTACAAAGTTACAGTAACCAGAACAGTGCAGTATGGGGATAAGGAGAGACATATAGGTAGACACATATAGACCAGTGGGGTGGAATCAAACTTCCAGGAAGAGTCCCATATATCTGTGGTCAACTGAGTTTTGACGAGGGTGTCAAGAGCATTGAATAGAGAGAGTAAAGTTCCGAACAAGTGGGTTTCCACAGGCAAATGAATGAAGTTGGCCCCCACCTCACAATATATACAAAAACAACTAAAAAATGAATCAAAGAGCTAAATGTAAGAGACACAACTGTAAAACTCTCAGAGGAAAATATAAGGTAGTCACGTACAATAAGTTTATCTTCATGACCTTGGATTTGGCAATGGATTTTTAAAATTTTTATTTATTTATTTATTTATTTATTTATTTATTTATTTGTTTATTTATTTTTGAGACAGAGACAGAGCATGAGTGGGGGATGGTGTGCAGACAGAGAGGGAGACACAGAATCCGAAGCAGGCTCCAGGCTCTGAGCTGTCAGCACAGAGCCCGACGCGGGGCTCGAACTCACGGACTACGAGATCATGACCTGAGCCGAAGTCAGACGCTTAACTGACTGAGCCACCCAGGCACCCCTGGCAATGGAGTTTTAGATATGATGCTAAAAGCACAGACAAAAGATTTAAAAAAAAAATTCTTTACAAAGATAAATGGGACTTTATCCCACAGGATGGGAGAACGTATTTACAAACCATATTTCTGATAAGGGTCTCGTATTCAGAATGTATAAAGGACTGTCACAACCCAACAACAAAATGGCAAATGACTCAGTTAAGACATGGGCAAAGGACTCGAACAGACCTGTCTGCAGGAGGCACATGGGAAGATACCGAGCATCATTAGTCACTAGGGAAACACAAGCCCAAACCACGGTGACACGGCACTTCCACACGCACTGGTACGGCTACTAGAAAAGAAAGAAAGAAAAGAGAAAGGACCCTCACACGTGGCCGGTGGAATGTAAAACGGTACAGCTGCTGTGGAAAACAGGCCGGTAGTTCCTCAAAAAGTTACACGGAAACTCAGTTGAACTATTACGGCTCAGCAATTCCACTCCTGGGTACACAAATGTCTGTAGCGGCATCATTCATGATGGCAAAAAAAAAAAAAGGAAAAATCCGAGTGTCGGTCACAGACGACTGCATATATGCATCCAACGTGGTATATCTATACAACGGAATGTTCCTCGTCCACAGAAAGGAATGAGGTAGTGATACACATTTACAATGCGGATGGGCCTCAAAAGCGTGATGCTCAGAGAGAGAAGCCGGTCACGAAAGCCCAGGTAGCGTATGATTCCATTTATGTGAAATGTCCGGAACAGGCAAATCCATAGGGACAGAAAGCAGACTAGCTGCCATAGGCTGGTGGAGGAGGGAGTGGGGGGCGGGGGAGGTGCCTGCCGATTGGTCAGGGTTACCAGTTGACAGCGTGTTTCCTTCTAGGGTGATGAGAATGTTCTAGAACTACTAGATAAAGTTAATGGCTGTACGGCATTGTGACTGTACTAAATCCCATTGAATCGTACACTCAAAAAAAAATTTTTTTTAACGTTTATTTACTTTTGAGAGAGAGACAGGCAAAGCGTGAGTGGGGGAGAGGCAGAGAGAGAGGGAGAGGCAGAGAGAGAGGGAGACACGGAATCGGAAGCAGGCTCCTTCCAGGCTCTGGGCTGTCAGCAGAGTCTGACGCGAGGCTGGAGCCCACGAACCGTGAGATCATGACCTGAGCCAAAGTCGGAAGCTTAACGGACTGAGCCCCCCGGCGCCCCTGCATTGTATACTTTTAAATGGTTAAAAAGATGCATTTTATGTTACGTGAATTTTACCTTGATTTAAAAAAATATACAACCAATTAAAAAACCTATTGTCTCTTGCGATTTGAATGAATCTTTTGCCCACATGTATGGTTTTTGTAACATCACACACTGGTCACGTGGAAAATATTGGCTCACCGAGTTTCCGGATGTTCCAAATGATGACGCACTTCACTAAATGCTATTGAAAATCGCATTTGTTATTATTGACCAAGCTCATCAGGAGCATACCAGGTTTTCAAAATTCGAAGTTTTCTTTTTTTGGTTGAAAATTTACTGGCAACCAAATTAATCCCCCCCCTCCCCCCCGGACCCATCCGCTTCGTGCTCTCCTTTTTGAGAAAAATGCCTGCCAAATCCTCAAGTCTGAAAACTCATCATTTGTCTGTTATTCCTTCAAGCAAACACTGTGTTTCGTGACAGAAGTGGCTGGTGCAGCTCACAGTCATCTGCCCAGCGGCTCTTCCTTAGCACAGTCATCACACTTTGGCAGCAGAAGTGCCTTTTGTCACCCAGAATATTAGAAACGACTGGGGTTTCATACAATGACTGTTTACTGCTTCACCAAGGACCTTAGGTGAACCGTAACAGCAAGTTGCACTACGGAATTCGCTGCTTCTCTTCTCTTTTTCACTGTGAGCGCTGGGTGGTGCAGAAGCCGGTGGCTTCTGGGAGAGTCTGACGCCTCCGCCTTGCTCCGTGGCCTGCGTTTGTGCCCGGGGGCGCATCGATGTTGATTTTGTACAATCAGTGCAAACCTCAGCACAGGGAAAGCTGGCGACAGGCTGATGGCTTAGTATTATTATGAAAACAGTTCTGACCCGGTGGGCCCCCGGGGCCGGTCTTGGGGACACCCAGAAGAGTGCCAGACGTCTTGAGAACTGCCTGCTAAAAACTGTAGAGCTACGAGTGAGTATCGAGCATCGTGGAAAAGCACACAAATTAAGGCTTGCTGCAGAAGACCATCCTGAAGAACCCATAGCTATTAAATAGGGTCCGCTCAAGCCCACGGGTGCAGAGAATTAATTTAATGCACCGTGGAACCTCCCCCAGGTGTTCGTTGTATTTTGAAATCAAAACGACAGCTGGGGTGTCTGGATGGCTCAGCCCGTTGAGCATCTGACTCTTGATTTCGGCTCAGGTCGCGATCGGAGGCTCGTGGGATCGAGCCCTACATCAGGCACCGCGCTGAGCTCGGAGGCTGCTCGAGAT